CCAGTACAGGCTGGGGGTTGACCTGCTGGAAAGTAGCTCTGCCGAGAAGGACCTGGGAGTCCTGGTGGACAACAAGTTACGCATGAGGCAGCAATGAGCCCTTGTGGCCAAGAAGGCCAACGGGATCCTGGGCTGCGTTAGGAATGAGTGTTGCCAGCAGGTCGAGGGAGGGCATCCTGCCCCTCCCCTCAGCCCTGGGGAGGCCTCACCTGGAGTCCTGTGTCCAGTTCTGGGCTCCCCACTACAAGAGAGACATGGCGCTCCCGGAGAGAGTCCAGCGGAGGGCAACAAAGATGATTAGGCGCCTGAAGCATCTCTCCTATGAGGAAAGGCTGAGAGAGCTGGGCCTGTTCAGTCTGGAGAAGAGAAGACTGAGGGGGATTTCATCAACGTGTACAAGTATGTGAAGGGAGGGTGTCAAGAGGATGGGGCCAGACTCTTCTCCGTGGTGCCCAGCGACAGGACAAGAGGCAATGGGCAGAAACTTAACCACAGGAAGTTCCACCTAAACCTGAGGAAAAACTTCTTGACTGTGAGGGTGACCGAGCATTGGAACAGGTTGCCCAGAGAGGTAGTGGAGTCTCCTTCCCTGGAGATATTCAAAACCCGTCTGGATGTGATCCTGGGCAATATGCTCTAGAGGCCCCTGCTTGAGCTGGGAGGTTGGACTAGATGATCTCCAGAGGTCCCTTCCAACCTCAACCATTCTGTGATTCTGTGTGATTCTATGCATGCAGATCACACCATGGGACAGAAGGAATCCTTGCTAAGTCAGTCCTCTGGAAATGCTCCCTCATTAGAGGCTTTTTTGATTCAAACATGCGTAATAGCCTTTCAATCTTATTTTTAATGGATACTCCAAATATTTAAAAAAACTATATGCCTGATGTTGAGAATTAGCCCAAATTACAGATGGCAAAGGTCCATTAGAAAGTTAAGTATGTAAGGGTTTCTTCTTCCCATATACAATGATACAAAATACAACAAGAGGTAAACTTTTTACAATGATACAAAATACAACAAGAGGCAAACATCAAGCTGAAAGAGATCATATTCTACAACTATTTAATATAACAGACACTTAAGACGAGAGACAGAAAGATTGATAAAGCTGGAAAAAGAAAAGAAAGAAGGCTACTAAAAACTCCACTAACCTTTTCTTTCAAGGCAGGTTTTGATTAAACAATAATTAACTTTGATTAAAGAAATGGTTCTAGCTTTCTTGAAAATTTTCAGTCTTCACCTCAGAAAAATGATGCTAGTCAGACACTTGGATCCTTTGCAAAAAAATCAATTAGCAGCTACTTTACCCTTTGTCTGAGCACAGAAAGCAGGGGGCACAGAAAGATGGTTGACACGAATTGCTTTAATCTGGTAAATAAATAAAACACTCTCCTTATGGTTAACTTTTGGCTAATTTTTAAAAGTTGCAATTTTACGCAGTCGGGAGAGGAGAGAGAAACAGAAGATGCTACTTCCGTGAGATCTTTTTGGTAGCCATTGGTTTCTATAGAGGTTTGGCATATATCAGACAGAGAGGTACTTGTGTAACTATAATTTTGCATATGGTATTGTCACATCCAAAAAACCTATACAGACTTCTAGTTACAGAGTATCCATTCAGGCAGTAAGTACTCCTCAACTGTAATACATCTAACTGGAACAAAGTTTTCACTTTACTCTCTAATGGTGTGAAAGTTGTAGTTTAAAAATACAGAACAGGAATAAGGTTCTGTCACAAGAGAAGAGTCTGTAGTTAACACAAAAACGTTTGATCCTTTCATATTATATAAAGAGGTCTATTACACAAAACTGTGACTATTCCAGAGGAAATGAAAAAGGTGATTCAAGAGAATATGTTATCCTCTATCTGTTCAGAAAGAGGATCAAATCAAGCAGGAAACATACACAGATAAAGGTGGACAACCAGCGCAAGATACAAGAATGACAACAAGGTGCTGACGTTTCAGATTTTCTCTTTAAATAGCAGGTGCTGGCTAAGTGCACACAATGCTAACAAACAGGAAATAGCTTTTCAGAAATCATCACCTTGAATCACAGAATGGACAGAATACAGTAAGAAAGAGACTGCGAGGTGATACATAACTTAGTGCCAAGCATTGCTGACAAAGAATAGAAAAAAAGTTAAAAAAAAAAAAAACCCTCAAACCCCCCCACTCTTAAGAACTCCTTTGGTGAGGGGAGAGGGGACATCCATCATCACTATAGCACAAAAACTTGCAACAGACCTTTCCTTGAGGAAAGCACGACCCGACTAGCATGCAATCCGAAGGGAAATTAGACCATCAGGCATCATTCCTGATGTGACATCAGATTAGAAAGGCCTCTTGGGTCATCCACCACAAGGCTCTGCTATCATTAATAACCACAACATATTCCTTTCATAAGGGAACTGCCCTATTTAAACAAATCTTTTGTGTCTGCTCTCTACAGCTTTTTTATCATTATTTAAAATAAGTGAATGGAATTGACTATTTTTCCTGCTTTCAGCCATCTCTCTTCTAATACCAGTGGGCACTGTCTTTACAGTCACAATAATAAAAAACATCTTTGCAGCCTCACTAGCCAGCTCATCCTCTGAGCCATTTCAGTGAGGGGGAGGGAAAGCATCACTTCAACCATTTCACTGCTCTGTGCAGCTTTCTGCTAGCGCTGTTTTCCTAGTGGCTTTTCAGTGTTGACAGGAACAAAAACCCCAGTCTTTGAAAATAAAACATCATTTTCTAAATCCCTAGCAGGAAGGCCATGAGGCATGTTTGAAGGACAAATTGCCCACCATAGATATGGGGGACAATACAACAGTGTTAGAGACGGGTGCTGTTTCTCCCACATATACACACACACAAACTTTTTTTTTTAAATGTCTCTTTTGATGTCACTATACATGTCTGCCTTATCCCTCAAACACTGAACTAGTATCAGTAAACATTTCCCAGGGTCAGACCTCAAGATGCTGAGGGATACAAATCTGTCTTTGATCTCATCACCACTTTCTTCCAGAGTTGGAGCACTCTTCACTCTTTTGAGTGAGGGTGCCTACACTCACGTGTTATCATGAATAGGGGCTTCCAGCTTCTCTGAATGCAGCCACGTTCTGAGTAAGTCGAGAGGATCTGCCAGCGTGTTATGTAACAGGATCGAGGGCTTGTACTGCAAACCCTAGGACAAGATCCATCTCACAGCATGCTTAATCATCTCCCCTGTACAGAATTACTCCATCCCCAGTCCCTCTTCTGTTTTTCAGTCCTCCTCCAACACCATTTAAAGGAGCTGATCCAGCAGTCCAAGAACTCTTTCCACTCACTCACCTTGAGCATGGCACACGTTTACAAAGCAAGATAGCTACATGCAGATCCATCATCCCAGACTCTAAAGAGAGCTAGCCTTCTTTCTGTAGAAATTTGCTTTTCCCTCTTACTGGAATCCATTATGATAAAAGAATCTTTTCACATGAGGGGGAAAAAACCCTAAAAAATGACCCTTATTTTACGTAAATGCTTCAAATTGACTGTCAGTTAAAGTCTGTTCTCTTCATTTCAGAAAACCCATAAGCATTGACCTGAGAGACAGAGAAAAGCTGGGAATCCTGGTTGTGCTAATACTTGAAATGATCAAGAGAGGACTGACAACACCTCTAACAGTCCCCTTTCTATCCATGACGATCCTTCTTTTGGAAGCAAGAATGTTAACGTTCAAGAATTCAGATTTACACTTCAGAAAAATAGGTTTCTGATATGAGATAAAGGGAGAGAGCGCAGCCGAGTGCAAGCAAGCAGGATTCTCATTGCTCAAATTACAATAACAGGATATGATTATTCTGCCAGCTGCTTAAAAAACAACCCCAAAAAGACAAATAAGAACTACACTAGATAAAATAACCCAGTAGCATTTCCTCTTCTCTCTCGAAGTGCAGAAGTGCAGCTCCCATCCCTTTTGACCCAAGCTAAGGCTTGCATGTCATAGCACTTCTGACAAATGAGAGACAAGCTGAGCAGCTGGGCCTTATCTACGTAAGTCAAAGATAAGGTAACTAATAAGCCTGAAAAAGCACTAACTCGGGACGTACCACAGCAAGGATTTCTGATTATTCTCAGACACTGCACAGAAGCAGCATATCTCCTCTCTCCCAGGCTTAGAATTGGCTATTTTAGAGACGGAAGGAAGCCTTTTTAGGAGAAAACGTGAAAAATCTACTAAACATCAGGGCAAAGAAGGCTATCTTGAATGAACAGTGCATAGTGCAGCTTTTTTGGTGATCTTGGCTTCTTAGCATCATGGAGGTGTCTAGCTTGTTCATTCTGTAGAGATACCAATGGTGATAATAATAGATTTATCTTTGTCTAAAGAAACAATACTAACAGAGATTCCTCATCTTCAGTGAAATAGTGACTAAGGTTGTTTGCTGACCCAGAGTATGAAGCCTGGATAGAAACAGCTATTCAAAGAAAAAAGATAATAGTGAGATAAAATGCTTATTTCTGTGTCACTCTCATCGACAGCATCTCACAGAATTCCTGCCACCACAGTCATTCACTTTGACAAGATTCATTTCTTCCAAAACATATTTCTTATATTAAACAGGCAGCAAGGAAGCGAGGGGCTCAGAACTACACAGTTTAGTTTTACAACACTGTTTTCTTAATAAGACATGCTACCCAGTCTGGGCAGACCTGCAGTGGTATAGAAGAGACACATGCAGAGGTTGTGAGCTAATTAGGAATTATGAAGCTTTGTACCCCCCACTCCCAACAATGATCAGGGGAAAATGTAAAGTTGGCAGGAGTTGAAAGGTTTAGTAACAAATCTGATCAAACATCCTGTTTCTGGTCACATTTCCCTGAAGACAGAAAAAGACATTTTCTAGACACTGGCTTTTCTTTCCCCAAGTAAAATTTGTACAAACACTGGCTTTTCTTTCCTCGAGTAAAATTCATTTCAGACCATTCCCTAATCCTCCCAATTCATGCAACACTGATACAATTTTTGAGCTTTTGCTCTCTTTTTATTTCATTTCAACAACAGGTCTGGGGCAAAGTGGGAAGAGAGCAGCATCTTTTTATAAAAGAAAAACACAACCCTGTGGTATGCTACATAGGATAAATATGTGAGCTTTACAAAAGTTAATTTATATACATATACACTCACACTAAACCAAATTAAAAATAAAAAGTTGTGAGGAGCTGTTTCCAACAAAACAAGGGAGAGGAAAGCCTTATTCACAGCAAGCAAAAGCACCACAAGTTAAGATCATAGAGCACACTCACTGGCATTGCAGATACCAAACTAGCCTGCGTCCTGGAAGCAGTGCAGCTCTAGCACAAAGCTCCACCCACGCCAATTTATCCTGCTGCTTGGCAAAAGCAAGCACAGAATCTGTGTTCAGGATGTGTGCTGTGCACACACTGCCACAAGCAGCTGTTTTACTTATTTCAGTCTTGGCAGAAGCCACAGAAAGTGGCAAAGGAGTGAGACTAAGAGATTCAAAGCTAAGCTACAGCACTGACGTAGCTACAGCGTTTCCATTGCAGAGGTTTCTATGTTCACTCATGCCTCTTGTGTGCTCTTTGTGGGGTGCCTGTGAGGTCACTTAGCAGACAATGCCGGATTATTTATTAATTGTGCACTGCAGTTCCTATTCTTGCTTACCTACATCTTTTCTCCTCCTATGCCTCTTCCACCTCACAATGCCTCTTCTATTTCCTCCAGGCTGACAGGATAATAAAATTAGGAAGGGGCATGAATGCCTAAAAAGGCATATTCAATAACCAAATGAAGTTCAAAAAAAAAAAAGTATTAAAAAATGTTAAAAAAAAAAAAAAACACTATTCAATTCTGCAGACTCCTGGCACAGTTTGCTCATTTAGCCCAGAAGTCTCTTTCTTCAGGGCCTGCAGGCTATACTGTCTCAACTGGCAAGAAGCATGCAGTAACAAGGTAAAATTCTCACTAAAAGAAGAAACAAAAGTGGTAAGGGGTGGGGAAAGAAGAGGCTATAACATGGAAACCTAATACTTAGGTGGTAGCACTTATGCTACACGGTACGCTTTCAGAAGAGTGAATTCTTTCCTGTTGGTGCGAGCTGCCCAGATGAAAAGAGCAGCTGCCATAAATTGTAAAGGTGCCGAGACACAAGCTAGGCAGAAGGACCAGCCGAATTCACCCCTCACATCATCAGGCAGGGGCAGCTTCTTGTGGAGCAGCTCAATCCCAGCTACATAGCAGCCAACGAGGCCCAGTGTACAAAGCCCTGGAAGAGGAAGCAATAAAGTGCAATGAACTTACTCACAGATGACACCAGGGGCTTCTGGAGGAGGGAGGGCACATGGTGGGTGGAAGGGGACCTACCTGCAAGGAAATGGAGGACTCCAGTGGCAATGGCAGGGTAAAGGCTGCGACAGGCACAAGCACAGAGCCCAATCAGAGCCCCAAAGCACATGAGGCCAAGGCTAACAAAGGGCAAGAGAAACTGCAACCTCCAGAGATCTGCACGTGAAAGAAACACAGAGTCACAGGTTTGTTCAAGATGTGCTAGAAAAATGACCTTTTCCCATTTTCTTATGTTCCCTCCTACACACACCTCCGTTGGCTTAGCCAGAAAGGACCGAAGGCTCCTCTAAAGTAGGAAGAACTTCATCTGTTAACTCCCAAATTCCCACTACACTCATGGGCAAAACCTTCCCCACAGTACCTACTTTTCCTTTTAAACTGTAGTCTACTGCCAGCGCTACTGTAAAAAAGTGCAGAGCAATATACAGATGTTTCCCTCATTAATCACTGCATTTGGGAGACACTTTTTTTTTTTATCCCTGCCAGAAGTGAGAGACACTTACAAGTCCGATTCAGATCTGTGCCACTATTGTGGTTTCCAGGTTCTATGTACTTTTCCATGAACTGATCAGAGAGGGAAAAACTGATGCAATTTGTGGTCATATCATTTTCTGGAACAAAAAAATCCAACAATTACTATCAGGTTGTTCCCCCCCCCCTTCATTCAACCCCTCTTCTCTCAACCTTTTCAGTTGAGAAGCTCCTCTGAGTTAAATTTTGGAGAAAAAAAAAACACTCAAAACAGATTTGTAGGATGCCTTATCAGACAATAAACGTATTGTACACTTATTACAATGAGGCACAGCATTCAAACATGCAGACTCTTCAAGCTCACATGGATAATCCAGAGATCTGTGCCACACTTGACAGATTGGAGAAAAAAATGCAGCATATGATACTCATCTATTTTCTTACACATCCTTGCACTCAGAGTCCCATAATGGAGCTGTGCTTATCTCCATGTATGGAATGAAACACCTTATTAAACACATTTCTAAAAAACGATACAGAGAGAACAGGATCGTTTACAAAAAGAAAAGTATCTCATACTGTTTTATATTCAATTCTTCCCCATTTACTGAGAATGCTACTGAACAGAGCTGATTTAAGTTTCCTCCCAAAAAGGTGTTTTCATTTAAAACAAAAACAAAAATGTATTTCATGTAAAGCTTTTTCTTCAGAAAAAGTGTTTGAAAGTAAATTTTTTTTTTTTCAAAAGAGGAGTCAAAATGAAGGGCTTCACACACATATACATAATATTGATGTGTTCAAAACTTATTCTGAAGTGATTAAAACAAGTGTTCATCACAGTTCCTTTTAGCCCCCATCCCCAGTCAGTATGAAAAACAATACAAAGCGTTTCATTTTACATCTACACCCTTGTAAAGAAATCCAATATTATGGTGAAAGGACTACAAATTGTCGCAATGACACAATGGGAGACATTTGTGACTTGCGAGTAAAATGAATGACTAGCTAAAAGGTGTAAACATCCCTTTGACAAAATAGTATTTTTCTTCCATTACTGGATCCCTCGACCTCTTTTAAAAAGGCAGTGACTGGCAGAGCAAGAGTAACTGTGTCCCCAGTGGGAAAGCAGATTGGAGATAAAAACAAGTCACAGCAGACTAAATTTAAATCAAGTATAATGTGCAAATCCAGATTCCGTGACACTGACAGCCAGAGAACATTTTGTCTTTTGCTTCTTTACAAGTCTAGACTGTCTTTACTCAAAAACCACAGAAGCTAGAAATAGGTCTTCTGGAAGAACAAAGTAGCATGGATGTGTTTGTGAGCATGTGCCATCCTAGGCAAGCAGGAAAAGTGCTAATTGCTCTGGAGATACCTGGTGGGCTGTACCAGTGAGAGTTCTTGGGTACAGTGATACACCTCCGCCACAATCCAACTGTGCCATTGCACCGGAAGAGTGCATCTGTATAGGTCTTCTCATCTGCCTCTTCGCTGACGAATTCTTCCCAGATGCTTTTGCCAGCTTCACTAACATTCTCAGCTGGAGACAGGGTGTGATACTCGTACCAAAAATCAGTGCCGATGGAAGCTGCCATATAGATGGTGGAGATTAGGCTGAGAACACAGGCAATTACTAATGCTGTAGCAAAACGGTTATCCATCATTGTGCCCTCGCAGCTGCAAAGAAAGGGAGAAAGAGAAAGAGCATCAAATGAGTAACTCCTCTGACACAAAGCACAAAGTTATCCCAGCAGTGCGAAACTCTTTGACACAATTCCTCTAACCCTGTTCTCCCTCCAGATACACATATCTTCCTTTTCCAACATACTGGAAGCAAAGAAATATTGAGTAAGTCTACAGCACTAGTTAGCATCAAGCAGATCTGCAAGTTCAAGGCAAGGAAGCTGCCCTTCTCCGACCCACACTGCCACCACAGCGTGCTAGCTGCTCTAAGAGGCAGCAACTGACAGCGCAACAGCGATTCTGCCCCCAAAGCAGATGGCACAGCTCACAGGCATTTGTGATCCTGGTGGCATGGAACCACAGAGAATCCATGTGGAGTGCCCAGTCAGAAGACTTATCTTTCCTTAAGAGATTACTGAGGGAAGAAGTTAGTTTTAGCCTGCCATTTACACAGCTTGTGTTTATAGCAAAGGTAAGAACTACAAGGGAGTCGAAAAAGCTTTTTCTGACTGTTCACAAAGGGCAGCCATGCTGAGATGCTGGAATACCTGCTGGGAAGCAGAGAAATGTATCTAGGCACTACAGAAAGAACATTAAGGAAGCACCACAAGCAGATCTGGAGATCACAACAAATGCTGCAGCAATGCCACAATGCATACAGCAGTGGTAGAACAATGCAGAGAACTAGAGAACTAGAACAATGCAGTGGGAGTGCCATATCCCATAGGCATAAGACAACAAGAGTTTCCAAAACTGAAAGGTGTTCATGGATCGGCATGAGGACCTTGCTCTGGCTCCCTAGAACATGGGTCACTAATGCATACCTTTGCAGGGCCATACTCATAAACAGCGCAAGTTCAGGGTCAAAGGAAACACGTGAAAATAGAGATGCCACGAATGCTTACACTTATGACAATACTGTCACTCTAATGAGCGACTGACTGATAATACAAGTAATGCTTCTCAGATAGTGAAATACAGTAGAACTCAGTGTAATGATGTCAGAGAACTTTCAAGTGCCTATTGTGCTCATACGTTTTCTGTGCTGGATTAAATTTATGGACTATGTTCAAGCAGGCTTGATGTATTTGCCAAACAAAGTATCAATTTAAGTTAACTCAGCTAAAGCTGAGATTTGTATCTAATCAGCTCCTGTCAATTGCTTGCTTTACCTGGCTTCTCTCACATATTTTTATCAAAATATTTTGGTCTAGCTTCTTTGCAACGGAATGGACTGCAACTGGAAACAGCAAATACCTAAAAACAGAACATTCGCAAGGAAAAAATACATGAGCGCTCAAGTCAGACCTAACCAAAAAGAAATTCTGAATTATGAAATAAGGTGCAAATTAAAATGGGGAGTTTCAAAGGCACCAATACTTGCTGCTAACAATGACCGTCTCATTTCTTTTCCTTCCCATCTGCTCCTCTATTTGGCTTGAACTGACTAACAGGGATGGGGATAAGAGATGATGTCCAGTCACATCATCCCCTGTGCCTCATTTCCATATTCAAGGAGGGATGTTGAATGAGGCAATACTCTCTGTAACATCTTCCTTCAAAACGTGCAAGGGTAGAACTAATTTGTGATGAAGTGGCAAGCACCACCCACTTAAAGTACAGTGAAGTTTGAATACAACCCTAGTCAAAAAATAATCCAAAAACTGAATTTTTATAAGCTAGGACAACAAATTAAGAGGGAAAAAACAGCGTACCTGGGCTTATTTAACTATACCTAGAAGACATAAAACCAAGTAAGTCCGTACTTAGTAAAAAGTAAATACCAGGCAGCGTTTAATCCTTGGATGTGTATTTATATTCTCCCTTGACACCCTAACATGCAGCCCAAGGTACACAGGGCAGCAAACGTGCAGAACAGGGAAAGAGCAAGCTGCTGAAGAAAAGCTGAAACCTCAGTTTTTCCTAATTGAGTTCACTGAGGGATCCCTTCCCCTTCACGAACTTTTCATAAAGCAAACAGGGGGCAAGCAGCATCTACAGGGCCAAAAGGTGTGTTGCCCTGCTCCTGCCCAGCTGAGCACACAGCTGAACAGGTCCCCTAGAAATTCTCTCTCAGGACATGCAGCAGAACAGGCTCGTGAACAGGCTGGTCTGGATTTGCCACTATATTGCAGTCATATTCACTGCAAGAACCACCCTCTGCAATAAACTCCTCTTTTTAGAAAGGGCTCTCTCTGGAAGGAGGAATCACAAGAAGCTACAAGCTCCATCCTCAGAGTAGTAGCTTGTGCTAGAAGAATGCAACTGGGACATCAATGGGCCCTTTGTTTGCAGCCATTGTCTTTTGATATATACGCCTGCAATGTGTCTTTTGATATATACACCTGCAATGACAAAGTCGTATCAACTTGGTACTTAATATACTGAAAGAACACAACTGGCTGAAAAAACTGTACTTCCAGGTACAATATCCCTGCTGCCAGGTCCAAAACATTGGTGCTGGGAGTATTTTTTCCAGACTGTCATTAAAATGCAGCCATGCACTTCTAGCCAGCTTGCTATGCATGGAAAAACATTGTGGGCTTAGCAGAATCAATGTCAGCTGGCAACTGAGAGCAGTTCACAGGCAAAATGAAGGGTTAAACATCAAACATGAAGTTAAAGCAGCAATCAGTGTACAGTACCCACAGGGCAAAAAAGACATGGCCATCCAATGATATTCAATCATTGTATTGCACAGCTCTGGAGATAAGCAGAGAGCAGCTGAGGTGGATGCAACTCCCAAACGCTAGAAAGTGGCTTGTACTGCACTTGTTTAGGGAAGAACACATCGCAATTTTCAGTATGGACAAGAGCGGTCAGGGCAAGAGCACACATCCAATCCCTTGTAATGCAGATCTGCTCAGTGCTTCTGCCTAACATCTCAGCTACTTACAAAAGAGATGAAGAACTCTACAAACACTTTAGGCAAATTTTGAACTGGAAGTTTTTCCTGCCACAGACACTGCAGTAGACTTGACTACCCTGCCCACTTACAGTGTATATCCAGTGCATCTTCATTTACAGCAGTTGCGCACGCACACACTTAAACAAGATGACCTTTGCTGTATTAAAGAGATAATCATGCTTCCAGCCCCAAGCAAAAACTCATTGGGACTAGCATGCAGAGCGAGTAAAAAATAGTTACCAGAGAAAGACCGTGAAGAAAGATACTACAAACGTAGAAGATTATGCCACACTTTGCAAAAGGTTTCATAGTATTAGTTATGCACAAAAATAAGTAGGACATGCTTTAAAGTAAGATTAATTACAAAAAATAACATAACTACTGTGTCTTTATAACTACTGCCACTTTCCATAAAGACTGATATTAAATAGAAATTCCTTCTGCCTTTACAGGATGTCAGTAAGGACCTTAATCATTTTACAAAAGGTTCATAAGACAGTACCCAGCACACTTGGTTCTAACAATATGAGTTGTTTCAGACAAATAATGGCTGAAATTAAGATGTACAGTGAACATAAAGCAATGCAAGGCAATAGTATCCAGGCATTCAAGCAGCAGTGCTTCACAGAATATTGTAACTGTACTTGTTTTTGAAAGAAGTGAGACATGTTGATGTTCACTAATTATAAGCTTCAAAACAAAAGAAGGCGATGCACCTAGAAAGGATGAGGAAGCTTATGCTCAGAACAAAAAACTGCAACGTGTCAGTTCATAAAAAAGGAGGCAAAGGCCAAACTACCAGCAATATTCAAAGAAAGGAAGAGATGCATGTATTTCATAGAAGGGGAAAAGAGGGTAAGGCAGAGTTGAGCAGCAGAGTTGAAAAAATAATAAACAGCTATAGCAGCACAAAAGCAAGCACTCTGGCAAACACACAATAGTAAGACCAGAAAATGGGTAAAAATCAGACATTTGGAAAGCATTTTAAGAAGTTACTGTACCTTAGCAGAAAGGTTAAATATGTAAAAATGTGCATACTCTTTATTCTACTACAATAGCAGGCCACCACGTTTAAGAAACTCATTTTACATTACATCACAAAAGAGTAGGACTACAAACCCAGTGTAATGAGTGTTGGCATGTTCTCAGAAACATGTTTGCAAATCTGACCGCTCCCTGGCAGAGCAGAGAGTGCAAGAAGCCCGCAAGAAGATGTAAACATGCGGAGAGAACACTACCAAAGAAGATCGTACTTTTAATACTCTCAGAGAAAGGAGGATTAGTGGATAACGCCATCAAACACTTCTTACCTTCAAAGAGGAAGAAGCTGTTCCTCAGCACACACAGCTCCAATGATTCCAGGTCACTTCAGAAATAGATTATTATTTGTGTCCTATAGTAAACCAAGAGCATGAAGGGCAAGCTTCCTATCTGCCCTAACTGTTCCATTCATTCAGTTTCCTCTTCAACACCATCAGTTCATAAAAGGTGATCTAGGAACAGAAAACAAATCAAACAATTAAAAATCACCATTTAACTTTGAAATTACTTTAAAGAAACCTCTCAACGTTGCTTATCAGAAATTAAAAGAAAAGACAACAACAAATGATGACTACAAGAGCTCTCCGGACAATGCCAACACCAATCCCGCAGTGCCGGCACCACTAACATCAATTCAGAACGTGTGAAGAAGCTACCGTTGCCGGTAGACTGGGCAAGCGACCCTATGAATGGATCTCGACGAGAGCAGAGTCCCACAACAGGTTAGCTGCTCGGGTTTAGTTCTGCCATTTGCCCTGGACCAGCAGCACACACGCGAGCCACAGCTGCCTAAGCCGTGCTGACATGCTCGAGACAACAGCGCAACCCCCTCCTCCCCAGCTACTAGAGCAAGACACCGGCCGGGCCGACGGGACCCAACTCCACGAAGCACAAGCAGAGGCGAGCCGGACCGCCTTGCTCGGGGCACGA